CTTCACAACAGGCGTACATCAGAAAGATCTGAGTGATCTTGAGGATTGGTCTAGTGTATTTTTCTTTCTGTCTGGTTTGATCATCCATTGTTGTTGAATGGCAATTGACAATATGGCAGAAGCAACTTGAGATGAAAATACCTCCTTTAATTTTTCATTGCTTGTGGTTCAGTGTTCTAAATGGGAGAAACATTTTCTTGTCCAATTCCTCATCTTTTTATGATGGAACTGTTTGTCTAAGGAATTTTCCCTAACTGTGTGCATTCACTTTGCTTGTGCGAAGGTCCCTGATTTCACATAGAGCTTTTGGGTTCTGCTGTTAGTAGTGTATTGTCATGAAGTAGCAAAAAGAGAAAATGCAAGTGACACTTCTTAAACAGTGTATGAAAGTAGTGGTAGGATGTGTCTGCTTGTGTGACCAGCTATGCTTATTGGTTTAATTAGTGCTGGGTTGCAGAGATGTGCTAGGTAAGATTTTGGACCTTTGTCCTGGTAAAAACGTTATTGTCATGGAAAACGTTCCTTTATGAAGCAATGTCAGGAAGGAACAAAAGCATTGCCTTGTTTGTCAGGCAGAAACAATAGAGCTGCTTTACTGTGTCAGACTTTTTCTTTTAAAAAAAAAAAACAAACTAAAATAAAGTCAGGGACTACATGCATCTTGGACATTCTAATTAAAAACATTTCTTCTTAGTTCTTTTTTCATGCAAAAGCTTCCTGAAATGAAAGCATTTGCATGTTCAAAGAGAGAAGGAAAAGTACTTGCTGTGAAATGTTTTATTTGAATTAAGGCTTTTCAGATTTTACTTAAATTGAAATCAGTCCATGTGGAATTACAGTAAAATGTACTAAGATGTTGGCTTGAAGAATCTTCAGCCTTCATCTCAGCAGTAAATTGTGGAGCTTCATGTAATCATGAAGTTTCATCCTTAAAACCTGATAGGCCTCGAGTTTCTCTCTAAATGATTTTTAAGGAATAGAGATTATGAAAAGCTGAGAATACTTAAATTTTTGCATGTATTTTTGTCTTTGTTATGACATGCAGCAGTATAATAAGCCTGGCTATTTTTGTGTAAATTGAATTTAATGTTGAAACTGTTTCAGTAAAATAGATTTTGTGTCTTAAAAAGGTTATATGAAAAGTAATACTTTGACACAAAGGTGAATGATCATTTAATGTATTTCCTTTTAGAAAACAGGCGGTGGGGATATTAGAATGAGGTGCTATACTTAAAATTTGAAAATAATACTATATAAATATAATACTTAAGTCTCTGTGTGCTTTGGTCCAGGCTGCTAATATGAATCTTTACCATGCAGAGCTATAGGCCTGACTTCTTAAGCCCAACATCCAGTAAACTCTAATGGAAGGATTGTTCAAGTTCGGTATAGAAGGATGGATGGATTTTCCCTGAATAATTATCTGCAAGGAAATGTATGTAAGCTCTGATTTGTCAGCTGGATTTGGACTAGACTATTACTGCAGAGCTGAAGTGCCATTTACAATATTATAAATAGTGTAAAATGACCTTCTGTTTTAAATGGGTCAAAGCCGTAGCCAGGGTGCCAGGCATGGTACTTGATCCAATAGGAGTAGAAATGCTGGATCTTCAGGATGCTTCAGTGTGCTGTGCAGATTGCTAATATGTATGCATGCTCTTCAATAATTCAATTTTCATTAATTATAAAGTTATATTTCTCTTTTAAGACTGACAGAGCTTCATGCTGCTCCTGGGATTTTCTAGCATCACATCAAACATGTAGGCAGAATTGTTCTAACAGCATCTCTATGAGATTATTTCCTGCCATCTTTCCTGCCATTTCTAGTCAGGTTTTCATCTGTTCTGGGACTTCATTCTCTGACCATCCCAGTTATTTGGACCACAGAGCAGCAAAACTATGGCCACTTCCAAAACTGGGCAGGACAGGCTGGGTCCTCACCATGTGCACAACTCTTCCATGGGGGTGAGCAATTGAATTCTGCTTTTTTAAAAGACCAGGAAGGGCAAAGACTGTGAATCTGCTCCTACACTTTTGTGTTTTCCAATGAAAGAAAAGGGTAGATTTTCTGGATTTCAGCTCTTTGGCCCTGGAGCAGCTGACAGAATGTGTGGACTGCCAGATGCTGTGGCAAGATGATCTGCTAAATCTTTCTGCAAGGATTCACTGAAGTGTGAGAAAAAGGGTCAGTGGCGCTTGCACACTTCCATCTCAGATTCTTCTGCAGATGTTTTTCAAGGCAACAAGGGTGAGAGCCTGATGGAATTGCTACGGATACGGAGCTTTTATTATTTATTTACTCATTTAGTTATGCATGTATTTAAGCCCTGATGTCTCTTAATGGCATATCTTGGAAGTCACCCAGTCTCAGGAGAGTTTTTCTATTCAAAATCAGGGAATGTGAAATGTTGGCTGCTAATCAGCAATTCCAAGGTCCACTAGTTCTGCAGAAAATATTGACAAAGTACAGAGTCTCAAACTGGAGTGCTCTGTTATTATAGCAGAAGAATATATAGGCTAAATTGAATTCTCTTTGTATTTGGAGTTGCATAAGCATTATTTAGGCATCAGAAAAGGACAGAATTACAGCTTTTCAGTGATACTGGCATTGAGTAACTTCTAAAATAGACAGAGCTGGTGGTAATGAGGCCTTTTTAAAATTACCCTGTGAAGGATTTGGAAGAGTGGTGTGGCTGGCTGGGGGGAGCAAGGCATGCTTGTATCAGTCCAGTAACCTGGAGGGGGAGAGGATTGTTGAAGTAACTATTCTGCTGAACCTCGGTGTCACTGAAGAAAGCTGGAGTTCCATTTTAGTTGTTGGATGTTAAACTTAAATAATGCAATGCTTGTCATTAATGCATATTTGCAACAGGACTGTGAAAACTACACAGAACGTCATAAAATATGAAGTGGGAGAATGAAGGACCTGGAAGCTCCAAGTGAGCTTGTCATCTGGTTTTCAAAGCACACTGTTCTTAGCTCAACTTTGATTGCATATATTCAGAGGCTTTAAAAACAGTGTCTTGCAGTAGAAGGACAGGTGGAGAGGTGTTCTAGCATCATAGCATCCACAATGTTTGGATGGAGTTTCATTCTTTTTTGGCAGTCCTCTGTTGTATCTGATAGTTGCTTTGCATTCGTGGAATGCTGCATCAATGCAAATCACACCATTCCTCTGATTGTGGTTTGCTGTTGTGTTATTTAAACTGCCATGTTTACCATGCCAAGGTTGGGCATAAAGAGAACTGAAGGAGCTGTGCCTGTTTAGCTGAACCTGAACTTACCTTGTCATGGCTTCCCAGGGAGCCACAGGTAAGGTTTAGAACCACATGAAGAACATTTCCCTGCTCCCTTGTTCCGTGTGTTATGCCAGGATAGTATGTGCATTGCTGCCTCTGCAGTTCTTATGTTCTTTATTAGCATCATTACATGGTTTTGACTTTTTTTCAAGCATTGTCTGAAAGGAGAAGGATTTGTTCAGGCCATTAAGCCTGAAACTTTATACTTTGGCATCTTTTACACAATTGTTTGGCCAAAGATATCCATTAGGGTAGTTTTATTTTCTAGCAGTGCAGCTAATAAGTATTGCAGTTGTAGTGGAGCACTCTTGTGAAAACCTGATACTGTATACCATGGAGGAATGTATGTCTTCTTTTTATAACTTTTTCTGTAATTTATTAAATTAAGAGTGCTTGGCATAAATCAGAACATTTCTCTGGGTGTGAGGGGTTTTTTTCTTTATTTTTTTTTTTTTTTTGTGGACTGCGGGTAATGCATTACCTCTACAAGAGACTTGAACAGCACAGTTTCATTCTGTGGAACATCAGCCTTTTGTAACAAATAACCCAAGTATAAGTTGCAAAAGGCTGATGCTACCAGGAATGCTTAATTACATGTCTCTGATAATGCTGACATTGGAAAGGTGGCATTCTGCATGTGTAGCTGTCCTATCCAACCCTACTATAATGTTACTGGCTCCTAAAGAGTGTATGTTAATACATAAGATTCACATTTTTTATGAGATTTTCATTGCAATACATTTAGGTTGCATGTAGGTCAGAATCCAGGTTTGTTTCTCCTGGATTTTAATTTTCTTTTTGATTGCTAAGAGGGATTATAAGAGAAGGGACCAACCTTTTGTAAAAATGTATTGTAAGGGAAAATGAACTCTACTTGTAAGAGGCTATTGTTTTTGTTCTATAGTACTATTTTCCTTGTAGATGACATATTACTGTTTAAAAGATTTAATTATCTGTGTTCAATGTTTAACCATAGTGTTCTTACAATAGAGACCTTTGTTCTCCTGAAAAATAAAGCGTAGTCAGTGGTTTGATAAAATACTTCACAAAAATAGCTTTCTGATTTCAATGCCAGTCTTTAACATCTAATTAATGAAAATGATTGAATGCACAGGAGCTAATCTCCCAACTAGCGACAATTAGCAGAAAGAAATATGGCAGTGAGCAATGCTGTTTATCTTGCTAGCCTCTGAATGCTGAAGTGTGTGACAATAAGTGTGACTTTTCAGATATTCAGGAATAAATTATGGTTTTCAATGTGTAAAAGATTAGACAGTTAATTTTCCTAATGTAATTTTAAATATTGCTGAGTCGCTAAGCAGCTCTCTTACACTTCTCATTTTTTCTATGCTTTATATGCAAATTTTCAATCAAACCCCATTGCTGTGTAAATTGATGTTTTAAATTAGAAGACAGTGGAGAAGAATCCAAGCTATAGACCATGGATTTTTTTATTTCTTTTTGAACTGCATGAATATATATTTTTCTTGAAGTTTGTGTGAGTCACATTTTTTCAATTTTTCATGGACTGCATTTACATTCTCTGGAGCCAACTTTTGCAGGTTAGGGCAGGCAAACTTCCATGGAATATAGTGGGAGTTTTGTATGGATAACTACTGGAAGGATTTGCTCCAGTGACTGCTGTTAAGTGTTGTTTTAAGTGATACATTTGTTCCAATTATGTGCCCTTTGTCTTTGCAGTGTTCTGGATGATGAGGGAAGCAGCCTGCGTCAGCAGAAGCTTGACAGGCAGGTAAGATTTTGGAGGAGGACCTTCTTGCTCTCTAAAGTATAGGTCTTGGAGTAATGAAATCACTGACACATGTATTTGGTAATTAATAGGAAGTTGCGTCCTCTGGGGAAATGCAACAGAGAGATCTGTGGAGGTTACAGTTTATTTGGAAGTGTAATTGCCATCAAAATTTGACTTATGACTGTGGTTCGAGTGACTCTCATTTCCACTGCCTTGGACTAATTTTAAGCTGACTTACCATGTATTTGTTACCCAACTGATGGACCAGAAAGGACAAAAGGTTCTGGCAGCCATGCCAGCCAACAGAGGTTAACCACGAAGTTTTTACGTACTTTGCTTTTCATTCTGTGAATTTAGCCCTTGTGGCTGTAACCTAGTGGCACTATGCACTATGTTGCCTATTTTGCTACTGTATTACTACATATCATGTACAAGAAAGAGAGTCAGAACCTCTTCCATGAAATCTGAGGGAATTCTGCCATCAAGTTTTAAAGGGAGTTGAGGTTTCCGGGATTACTTTGATTTTCTTGTGGTCCCCTTCTCAAAAAACTTTGTCATATTTATAGTTAAATCTCATGAGTTTAATTTTATCCTCTGCTATACATTTCTTTTCCCATTGTTTTATCAGCTTGCATGTCTATTAGCATCTCATTTTCAAATTCAAATACCTTCTATTTATGCCATAATCCTGTACTCGATTCTGATTACCTTGGAGTCATGTTGAGGTGTTCAACACAACTTATGAAGCTGAAAGAGTCCCCTCCCCGTTCTTATTCTTCAGTTTTAGTGCATCTCCTATCTAGAAGCTAAACTATCACTGTGCAGGAGCAAGCAAATGGTAAGGTAATGGATAAGTGAAATTAAAAGTTCAGTTATCTAAGATTGTGGAAGAGGGCTCAAAGAGAGCTGCCTATGGTGCCACTGGATGCTGGAGGTTTTGGTTTTCAGCAGGTCTAGCTGAGAAATTTAGGTGTTTAATTAAAGTTCGTCTTTTATAGCTGTTAAATTAGGCTCATGTCCAGTATTATCACTTGATTCTAGTTTGCAATTACCTGCTTTTAATTTACAGAAACTGAAATTGGCATCTCTGCCTTATGCTCTTGCTTACCCTCCCATTGCTTCACAGCCAGTATTCTCACACTGTTGTTTTCCCAAGGGCTATTTCCAGGCAAGATCTAACAGCTGGTAGACTGCTCAGAAAGATCTATTCTAATTATTTGCTGTTTTCAGCAGAAGGTGTTTTAGCAGTGGGTTAGTCGTGGCTTTTTGGAAAGATTTCCTGTTACCCGATATCCCAATATGCCACTCGCCAACTGCTGCCACTGTAAAACCGGAGAGGGTGTAAAGGTATCCATCGTTTTTCGTTGTAGGCTGCTACCGTTTGGAGTCCAGTAACAGATGCTTTTCTTTGTGTTTTCTCCAGCGGGCACTGCTAGAGCAGAAGCAGAAAAAAAAGCGCCAGGAGCCCCTAATGGTCCAGTCCAATGTGGACAGTCGGACGAGGACACGCAGGACGAAACATTCGGAGGAACAGGCGCCGTTGGTTGAGTCGTATCTTAACAGCAACAGCAGCACCATATACCAGGGTATAAGAATGTCATCTGTAGCATGTGCATTTACTGCAAGTCACAGCTCTCCCTGCTGATTTTAAGCTAATGAGAACAAAGGTTCTTGTTTTGCATATTTTAGTAAATAATTGATATCCTTCACTTGTGTTCAGGGATAAAAACAATAGAACTTTAAATTCTAGCTTAACTGGAAGGAGCAAGGTAACTAGCTGCCCTTTCAGTGCTGTGGAGAAGGGAGAGTGGGTTGTCCCTTCTACCATGACTCTTTAAGTGTTTTCAGCTTTGGTTCCTATTGAAGTAAAGCTAATGCGTTCCACTCTGTGTATTCCTCTCTACATATCTTTGCTTAAGCCTGACAGTGTTAATGACAAATTTGAAGCCTGTTAACTAATTTCAGCTAAGGCTGAATATAATAATTTCAAAGATGCCGTATTTCTGCAAGACCCATTAAAATAGGTGAGTAGGTACAGAAGAACGTTTCAAGCTTGAACAGTGTTTCCATTTTCTTATTAAAGATTACAGAATCCAGTAGGGACAGAGAAACTTCAAGTATCACACCCATAGGGAAAAGAATTATAATGCCATTTCTGTATTGTTAGACTTCAAAGGCTTTAATAAATAGAAATAAATCCTAAGGAAGCCAGGCATTATTTAGTTCTGTGCTCATATGGCCCATGTTTTTTGGCCCCCTGATGAGATATGTACATACTTTTCCTCAGGATCTCTATCAATATATTGCATGTGCTGTACTTTTTGTCTGCCCTGTTGTTTCATTTTCAGTTTGTGGTCATATCTTTCAACAAGGAGAAGGTAGGTATTCCAGTGGGCTAACTAATCATGCTTTGAGAAGTTGAGGTTTCAGAGTCTTTTCCCCCCAGTTAGCAATTGATGGAAATTTTTGGTTGATTACAGCTGCAGAGTTGGTTGTTAGAACCTGGAAATTGTACTGTTTAAATGTTGAGGTTTTTGTAATAACAAGCCTTTTTAATCTTGTTTCTGCAAGTAAATAGGATACTGTAAGTGATTTCAGAAGGAGAATTATTTTTTACTAAAAGTATTACTTTAATTATGTTTTTCTAATGAATATTAAAAGCATTAGTAATATTGCCTTCTCTTTACTGTTTCTCAGGGTCTGGGAAGTAATTTTTTAAGATTAAACAAAATTTCTTTCCAGTCCAACCTAAGAATTTAATTTAGCACAAAATTCTAATTAGTTTATTTTTTAATCAGACAAATCAGAAATTTTCCCTCTTTCCTCTTTCACTCAATAGTTTATCAAAGGTACAGAGCTGCTCTAAGTATTTTATGGTACAGAGGTGCTGTGGTTTACTAAACCTCCTGTATTGGCAGTTGATTGAGGTTTTAATTTTCACAAATCGGAGAAAGAGACATTGTCATCCCCTAAATGGTAGCAAATTTCAAAACTACACTAACTGAGCTAAATTTTGCACCAATTTGCACCAGAGTGGACTTCCTGACTGTGAAATTTACTGTGCTCTTGAGGGAAAAGTGACCCTTCCTGTAACATTATACCACACTGTTTACTGGAATACTTGGGAATGTATTCTTCTTAAATCAGCTTGTTCTAAATTTGTCTCTCAAACCCTTGCAATATTTTACAAGGTTTCAGGAGACCAGAAAATTATAGTAATGTTTCTCATATTCAACACAAAGTTAGTTAATCCCTTGGGATAGCTCTCCTTGTAATAAAGCACACAGCTAGCAAAAGCCGGCTTAGGAGAATTTATTTACCTAGTGGAGTGTTTTATTGCCTTGTAAAATCCTTTGTTAGGCATGTTGCTTTTGAAAATATTATGCTAACTGCAGAAGTGTCCTTTTTCGGTGTGGTCTTCTCTGGGAATGTGCTTAGTGTCTCAAGTTACCTTGTTTGCATGGTACATAGTTAGGTTTTGGTGACCATTTCTAACTATGGTGTTCAGCTTCAGGGCTGGCATTTTTTTCCCTTTCAATGACAACATTTGTATGTGGCAGTGTCGGATGCATGAGACAGCTGGGCTGTTTCTAAAGAACTATTCTGCTCTTTTCCGTTCATTTGTTGCTGTTATGGGCATGCTGATTTTAAGTTAAGAATCAACTCTTTGATGGGAGTTGATGGTCTACTGAATGAGCTACATTACTTGGATGAGCATGTTTGTGAAATCAATTCCTGTGCTGCGAATGCTACAGAAAGAACACTTCTTTCCACCTATCATCCTGCTCTACTCTCTTTTTTTTTAGCGTGTACTAATTCCATGTAGCACAAAAGTACTTGTTGATTTCAACAAATAATTGGATGCCTGTGTGGAGATATCTCTATGGTACTTTGAGCAAAGTAGGTCAGAGATAACATCTCAGCGATTCTGAGATGCTGGGCTTTCTGTGCTGGGAAATTCTCTTTCATACACTGCCACAGCTTATTCTGATGCAGTTATCTGTGCTGCAATGGTTCCCTGATGGGCAACTCTGCTCTGGAATAAAAACCTCACTAAATTCCAGAATAATTATCAGAGTGTTGAGTAAAAAGTCAGTAAATTTTGTTCTGGAATAGAACATCAACCTGGTGAACTACTTGTGGGCAGATATACTGGAACAGCATATTTAGCTAGTTAAGCTAATCGTAAATTTGTCTGTATAAAGGAGCCCTTTAGAATCTCTGCAGGGTGACTGCTGCTAGTCCCCTGGCTACATGCTTTTTTGCTTCAACTAGCTTGAAGAAGAGAAATGCAAATAGATCTGCGATGCAATAGGATGGAGGGGTGTTAATTAAGGACTGTGAGCGAGCTTGGTTGGGTCGGCTCAGTAAGGGGATGTGACTTCCTTACACTACATGTACAGATGTGGGTTTCTTACACTTGCTCAGGATTGAAGATGGTGGGACAAGTTTAATTCAGGATGAAACTGAATAGATGAAGGGCTTTTTTGAGTTTCTTTTTTGTTAGTCTAATAACTAACAAAATGACACTCCTGCAAGTATGTCTCCACGCAGTAAGGAGGAGTGTTGCCAGAATCACTGTAATTTTTTCTTAAATAACATCAAGGCACAGAAGTGACACATAGGTAGGATAAAAGAGTGTTTCTGTTCCCTTCAAAGTGTTACTAGCAATTCTTCTGGGTGCTGTGAGACTTTAAGGAGGGGCGTGCCCTTCCAGTGAGGAAGTGACTGCAGAGTGCACCATGCACAATTCTCCAGACAGAAATTTTCTTCTCAGTACCTGCCCATATTTCACCTACAGGTAGAAGTTTTCAGATACTGTAGCTTGCAAATGACTCACACGGAGTGTATCTTTTTTAAATCCTTTGGTTGTTGGCATAATGCCTGATTAATTAATAAAAGGTATCTGTGGAAACTGACAAGAATTAAAGTTGAATAGACCAACTCAAGATAAAACATCCTTAGCACTCCACTCTATAAGGAGTTAGTTTGAGCTGGAGTACTACCAGTGGTAACACAGTGCTTGCCTGTCAGCATCTGCAGAGCAGGTAGGTACAGTTGTAGGTTGGGCTCTAAATGACCTGCCAGCCATTTCAAGCAATAACTGTCCTTCCATTGACTTCCATGATGTTTGGCTCTAGTTATTGCTATTACAATTAAGGCCTCTCTCTCTCTCTTACAGTACCAAACACATCTTAATTGCTATTTCATCATTATATAGAGCAAAATAAGAATAGCAACATTTTGTATTGCTATTGAGTTTAAATTCTATATAAAAGTCAGCAAAGGCATTTATTCACTGGAAGAAATTTTATCCCTCTTTGTAGGAAAGATCACTTACAAATTGTTTTGTCTTCTCTTTATGTGTTGTGATTTATTTTTGATTCAGTGTCCTTCGTAAGGACATATTACTACCTCTTTGTTTAAAGATTTTGAAATATTTTACTTCCCATTCTATAATAAGTCACAGTTACATCTGTTTGCTTGTTTTCATGTATCTCTACACCTCTTATTTTGTGAAGTTTGTTTTAAAACATAAACCAAACATTTTAGCCTTATTTGACATTGCAGAATTCTGCTGTAAATACAGTTCTTTTCAATCTGGATTGCAAATATGTACTGAGCATTCCTGGAGCCAAATAGCGTGCAGAGATACACTAGTTACTGCTACAATTTAATTACATTATTTAATTACATTTAATGCAAATGATGAAAGCTCCTTTTTACAGAGAAGAGTAATTTTACTTCTGTGAAAATGGTGAATTTCCATTGGGGAGTGATTTTTCTTTTCACAGCACTGAGGAAGGCAGAGATTTGAATGGGTGCCAGATATGCTTTCATTAATATTGCCATACTTTGTTGCAGCTGTGGCTTTTTTTTTTTTTTTTTAAGAGTTGAAATTAAAAATGTTTTCAATTAGATACTCTCAGAGTAATTTTCATGGCAACTTCCAATTTAGAGATTTAGATTAACCATGTGTAAAAAGGCAAAATTACTTTCTTGCTTTCCTCCTTTGACATTTGGCAGCATATCTAGATGTAATGGTTGTGTGGTGTGTTGAACAGACTTCTGATGAAAAGTTGTGGCTCTGGATTGTTACATTTGACGTGTCGTTCTGCTTATTTACCATGAATGATGAGGGAGAGTTCTGATGAGTATCAAGCTGTCAACTTTAAAAGATGACATCAGTTACCTATTCATTTAAAAAATCGCATATTTGCGTGCTCATCAAAACAATGTCTTGCTATCCCTGTTTTCCACTGACCTTGAGATGAGAAGGTATTAGTTTATTTTTTGAAGATAGCAAGGAATATTCTGTGCAAAGGGCTATTAATACTGAGAGATCAGGCAGTACTCCAAGTATCATGTGGGCAAAATACTTAACTTCCAATAAGCATATATTCTGAAATCTTTATTTCAGCTGCAGTCTTTTCACCTTAATCTTTTAAAGCATCTTTTTTTTGATTTGTCAGCAGTCCTTACTGCACTAGTGCTTTTCCAAAATAAACAAACTAACCCAGCAGTGAGGATCAGAGAGCAGTGGGTAGCAATGGGTCTTTTTTTTTGGATTCTTGCTTCTGCATGG